GTGGGTGAGTGAGTGGGTGGTGAGTGACTGGGTGAGTGGGTGAGTGAGTGAGTGGGTGAGTGAGTGGGTGAGTGGGTGAGTGAGTGGGTGAGTGAGTGGGTGGGTGAGTGAGTGGGTGAGTGAGTGGGTGAGTGAGTGGGTGGGTGAGTGAGTGGGTGAGTGAGTGGGTGAGTGATTGGGTGAGTGAGTGGGTGAGTGGGTGAGTGAGTGAGTGGGTGAGTGAGTGGGTGAGTGAGTGGGTGAGTGAGTGAGTGGGTGAGTGAGTGGGTGAGTGAGTGAGTGGGTGAGTGAGTGAGTGAGTGGGTGAGTGAGTGAGTGGGTGAGTGAGTGGGTGAGTGAGTGAGTGGGTGAGTGAGTGGGTGAGTGAGTGGGTGAGTGGGTGAGTGAGTGGGTGAGTGAGTGGGTGAGTGAGTGAGTGGGTGAGTGAGTGGGTGAGTGAGTGAGTGGGTGAGTGAGTGAGTGAGTGGGTGAGTGAGTGAGTGGGTGAGTGAGTGGGTGAGTGAGTGAGTGGGTGAGTGAGTGGGTGAGTGAGTGGGTGAGTGGGTGAGTGAGTGGGTGAGTGAGTGGGTGAGTGAGTGAGTGGGTGAGTGAGTGGGTGAGTGAGTGGGTGAGTGGGTGAGTGAGTGGGTGAGTGAGTGGGTGAGTGGGTGAGTGAGTGGGTGAGTGGGTGAGTGAGTGGGTGAGTGGGTGAGTGGGTGAGTGAGTGGGTGAGTGAGTGGGTGAGTGGGTGAGTGAGTGGGTGAGTGGGTGGGTGAGTGGGTGAGTGAGTGGGTGGGTGAGTGGGTGAGTGAGTGGGTGGGTGAGTGGGTGAGTGAGTGGGTGAGTGAGTGGGTGAGTGGGTGAGTGAGTGGGTGAGTGGGTGAGTGAGTGGGTGAGTGGGTGAGTGAGTGGGTGAGTTGCTGCTCACCTGTCTGGCAGTGGGACCCGCTCCAGCCAGCGAGGCAGACACAGTGACCAGGCATCACGCACGTGCCGCCATGCACACAGCCAGGGTCACACCACGCCGACACCGCTGGCAACACACACACACAGTCACACACACAGTGACACACACACACACAGTGACACACACAGTCACACACACAGTCACACACACTTACACACAGTCACACACAGTCACACACAGTCACACACACACAGTCACACACACACAGTGACACACACAGTCACACACACACACAGTCACACACAGTCACACACACACTCAGTAAGTCACACACACACACAGTCACACACACACAGAGTCAGTCACACACACACAGTCACACACACACAGTCACACACACACACACAGTCACACACACTCACACACACAGTCACACACAGTCACACACACACAGTCACACACAGTCACACACACACAGTCACACACACACAGTCACACACACAGTCACACACACACAGTCACACACACACACAGTCACACACACACAGTGACACACACACAGTCACACACACACAGTGACACACACACAGTCACACACACACAGTCAGTCACACACAGTCACACACACAGTCACACACACACACACACAGTGACACACAGTCACACACACACACAGTCACACACACACACAGTCACACACACACACACAGTCACACACACACACAGTCACACACACACAACAACAACAACCGCCATTCGCCACTAAGTGGCAGTGACGTCACCACGACGCTTGTGCCAGGCTATGTGCACCCTGAGGCCACGTGAAGTGTCGAACGCCCGCTGGCAGGAGGTCACGGGGCAGACCCAGGTGCCACGGGTCGACTGACTGAGATGACTGGCTGATGCACCACCTGTGACCCCTACTGTGCCAACCTGCTGTGCTTTAGCCACCCGGCGCTCCGCTCGTTGTTGTGAGCGTCGCTCCTCCGCCCTCCGTTGTTGTTGGAGGGCGACTACCTCCAACTGCCCAGTAGCGTCCTTCACGAGCCTCCTCCACAGAGGCCGATCTTGACACCGCTGGTACCGGTCATCTGCAAGTCCACTCAGCTCCACGTCCTCCTGTACCACATCACTCCATCTCTTCTCTAGCCCGTGCCGCGCCCGTTTAGCCCCTTCGATCCGGCCGAACAAAAGCTGTTTCGGCATGCGGTGGCTGGGCATGCGGGCTACATGACCCAGCCAACGCAGCCTTGCCTTCCAGAGGAGCTCACTGATGGGACCTTGTCCAGATTTTTCGAGGATTTGTGAGCTCCTCACACAATCCAGCCTGGTTAAATCCAGGATTGATCGTGAGCAGGCCAGCCTAAATGTTTCTAACCAGCGAAGATGTTCCATTAGGGGTGTCCACGTTTCGCAAGCGTAGAGAAGGGAGGGAATGACCGTGGCCGAGAAGACCTGAAGCTTAGTGCGGAGCGACAGACCAGGTAGCTTCCACACAGCGTTACGCAACCGATGAAAAGATATTGCCACTCGACTGATTCGGAGTTAGACCTCTGCTGTTAAACCGGAGCCGGTCATAAGCACACCGCCCAGGTATGGGAAACTCTCCACTCTCTCCACAACTGCCCCATCACCGATTGGGAGTTGTAGGGGGTGGAGTGTCTGATGGCACAAAATACCCAGACAGGTGCTTAGTTTTGGTGGGGCTGATGGTAAGGCCCCATCTCTTAGTGGCACGCTCAAGTCTCAGCAGCAGCGTCTCCAACTCCTCCTCTGAATGAGCAGCTATTACCAAATCATCAGCATACATAACGTGGTTGACCAATAGGGAGTCATCCCTTGACCGCACCCGGGCATCGATCAGCCTCCCATTATATCTGTACCAAATGGAGATTCCCCCGGTACAGCTATTGAAGGCTTCACGAACTACGTGGTCAAAATAGATGTTAAATAATGTGGGAGCCAGAGGACATCCCTGTCGCACCCCAAGGTGTACAGAGAATGGCTCTGACTCCCGGCCACGTAGTTTTACCCGGGCCCGCTCACCATCATGAAGGTCCTTAATTATCATGAGCAGTGGGTCAGGGACTCCGAAAGCACGAAGAACAACCCAGAGCCCAGGCCTACTGATGGTATCATAGGCCTTGACCAGGTCAATAAAGCAGAGATGTAGGTCTTGTAGGAATTTCCTACACCTCTGCTGTAGCAAACAGACAGAAAATATGGCATCTGTGCAGGACCGCCCTTTCCTGAAACCGCATTGGGGCTCCACAAGCCTCTCCTCAGCGTGCCTGGCAAGGCGATGTTGAATAATCCTTGCCAGGACCTTTCCCGGCACACTGAGGAGTGAGATGCCCCTGTAGTTGTTACAGTCTGTGCGGTCCCCCTTCTTAAAGAGGGGGACCACCAGGACATCCTTCCATTGTCAAGGGGTGCCTCTGTGGATGTGTATGCCTTAACTTAGCTATTTCAATGCTAAATTCTATGCTAATTCCTTTTTACAATGGGTGCCTCTGCGGATGTGTATGCTTTAACTTTTAACATAGCTATTTCTGTGACCAGTCACAAGCTAATCATTCAGCCATTTCAATGCTAAATTGGCTCTTTGTTCCTCTCACACAGCTTAAAAGCCGTGATCTGAACGTGGCTCTCTCACTCCAGCGCTGTCCTACCAGACAGTCTCGCCCCCTTCACCTGATGAAGGCCGCTTGTGTTGTGGCAGAAACGTAAAAAGAAAAAGTGAGAATATTATTGTGTTATTTTATTTTATCAATTTATTATTTTATTCTCATTCTACGTGACTTTACCGAAAGAACCAAAGAAGATCCTTCCAATCCTTCGAAACCCGTCCATTGGTCCAGATTGTTATGATGTCATATAGTGCAGTCTGTGCACAAACGCCACCCTCCCTCCGCATTTCGCTTGGGAGATCATCTCTGCCCGGTGCCTTTCCTGGTCTCAGACTCCGGATCGCCTTCAGTACTTCCTCAACAGATGGTACTTCAGCCAGCCACTCACAGGGGGTGACTTCCTCCAATATTTGAGGCACCGCAGCCTAAGCAGGGTCATCCTCACTTTGTGCCACGATGTTTTCCTGGCTGAGGGATTTTCCCTCCCCCAGGACCTCACAGACATGCTCAGCAAATCTGCAAACCTGTTCCTTGGGGTCGGAGATGGGATCACCGTTTTTTCCTCAATGATGGTAATAGGTGTGGCGCTGCAGGTTACTTTTTTATGGAGTTGAATAGAGATTTGTGATCGCGGGCCACTGAGGCAGACTCCATCTCCTCAGCAAACCGCGACCACCACCCATCCATGCAGCGCCTCACGGCTCTCCGAATCTCCGAGCGAAGGCTGCGGTAAGCCTTCTCATTCTCTGACGTGGGATGCTGTAGATAATGACAGTGGGCCTGTTGCTTTTTTTCAGCGAGCTTGAACACCTCCTCTGACAGCCAGAGTCTCTGGGGAGGTCTGGACCGCGTACCCAAAGCAGCCATTGCAGCTGCATGAGTCACAGTCCTAAACCTCGCCCATTTACCCTCGACATCAGGAGTGGGGGACGAAGCCAACCCCTGCTGCAAACGATGATGAAATCATCGCTTGCAACTTTCATCAGATAACTGAGACCAGGCCACTATGGGTTTGAATGGGGTCCTGGGTGTACACCCACCACCGGAGTGGAAGAATGGCAGGCGCATCTTACAGATGACAAGTCGATGGTCAGTGGGCAGATCAGCTCCACGGTAGGTCCTGGTGTCAAGGACATGGGCCCGCATCAGCTGTTCCGTCACTACGTAGTCCAGCATAATTTCTTTCTTGGACCCGGCATGCATCCATGATGTTGTGTGGATGCGCCGATGCCGGAACAGCGTCTTGGTAATTACAAGCCCATGGGCTGCACAAAAATCTAGCAGCCTCCTACCGTTGTTATTGAGCTGATCTGGCTCTTGCCTTCCAATCACTCCAGAACAGGTGCCAGCATCATGACCAACTCGGGCATTGAAGTCACCCAACAAGATGACTCTATCCCGAGGGGCCACTTTAGCTAGCACCTGTGACAGGAGGTACACACACACACACCCACACACACGGCGTCACACACACACATGCACACGGCGTCACACACACATGGACGGCGTTACACACACACCCAGTCACCCACCCACTCACCCACCCATTCACCAACCCACTAACCCAGCCACTCACTCACTCACCCAACCACCCACTCACCCACTCACTCAACCACTCACCAACCCACTCACTCACTTACTCACCCACTCACCAACCCACTCACTCACCCACTCACTCACCCACTCACCCACCCAATCACCAACTCACCCACCCACCCACTCACCCACCCACTCACTCACTCAACCACTCACCCACCCACTCACCCACCCACCCACTCACTCACTCACCCACTCACCCACCCACCCTCTCACTCACCCACTCACCCACTCACCCACTCACTCACCCACTCACCCACTCACTCACTCACTTACCCACTCACTCACTCACCCACTCACTCACCCACTCACTCACTCACCCACTCACCCACTCAACCACTCACTCACTCACTCACCCACTCACCCACTCACCCACTCACCAACCCACTCACTCACCCACTCACTCACCCACTCACCCACCCACTCACTCACTCACCCACTCACTCACTCACTCACCCACTCACTCACTCACCCACTCACTCACTCACCCACTCACCAACCCACTCACTCACCCACTCACCAACCCACTCACCAACCCACTCACCAACCCACTTACCAAGGCTTTGCAGCTCCTTCATCTCCCCGACACGCCCATTGTGAAACTCCTGAGAGAGAAAGACACATCCACACGGCCACCGTGAACTCAGCCACACGGCCACCGTGAACTCAGCCACACGACCACCGTGAACTCAGCCACACGGCCACCGTGAACACAGAGACACGGCCACCGTGAACTCAGCCACACGACCACCGTGAACTCAGCCACACGGCCAACGTGAACTCAGCCACACGGCCACCGTGAACTCAGCCACACGACCACCGTGAACTCAGCCACACGGCCACCGTGAACTCAGCCACACGACCACCGTGAACTCAGCCACACGACCACCGTGAACTCAGCCACAAGACCACCGTGAACTCAGCCACACGGCCACCGTGAACTCAGCCACAAGACCACCGTGAACTCAGCCACACGACCACCGTGAACACTGCCACACGGCCACCGTGAACCCGGCCACACGGCCAACGTGAACCCGGCCACACGGCCACCGTGAACTCAGCCACACGACCACCGTGAACTCAGCCACACGACCACCGTGAACTCAGCCACACGACCACCGTGAACTCAGCCACACGACCACCGTGAACTCAGCCACACGGCCACCGTGAACTCAGCCACACGACCACCGTGAACTCAGCCACACGACCAACGTGAACTCAGCCACACGACCAACGTGAACTCAGCCACACGACCACCGTGAACTCAGCCACACGACCACCGTGAACTCAGCCACACGACCACCGTGAACTCAGCCACACGGCCACCGTGAACTCAGCCACACGACCACCGTGAACTCAGCCACACGACCAACGTGAACTCAGCCACACGGCCACCGTGAACTCAGCCACACGACCAACGTGAACTCAGCCACACGACCACCGTGAACTCAGCCACACGACCAACGTGAACTCAGCCACACGACCACCGTGAACTCAGCCACACGACCAACGTGAACTCAGCCACACGACCAACGTGAACTCTGGTGTAATTTCACCTTGGGGTTTATTGTGTCTGCTGATTTGTTGATGTTTAGTGACTTCAAAGGACCGATCCTACAAACAGATACCAGCATCAGCAAGGGCTGCGACATCATCATCATCATTAACATCATCAGCAACTTCATCAACAATAACATAACTATAAGCAACATCATCATCAGCGGCATCATCATCAGCGGCATCGTCAGCAACATCGTCATCAGCAACGTCATCATCACCAACATCATCACCAACATCATCATCACCAAAATCACCATCATCACCAACATCATCAGCAACATCATCATCACCAACATCATCATCACCAACATCACCATCACCACCATCATCATCAACATCATCAGCAACATCATCAGCAACATCATCACCAACATCATCAGCAACATCATCACCAGCAACATCATCACCAACATCATCATCACCAACATCATCAGCAACATCATCATCAGCAACATCATCACCAACAAGATCATCACCAACATCATCAGCAGCATCATCACCAGCAACATCATCACCAACATCATCATCACCAACATCATCAGCAACATCATCATCAGCAACATCATCATCACCAACAACATCATCACCAACATCATCAGCAGTATCATCATCAGCAGCATCATCATCATCAGCGACTCACCTTCTCCGTGTCTCTGCTGTGCCCAGGGCGACTCGTTGAGGCGACACTGGGGAACACAAAGTTGCCAGCAACTTCAACCGCAAGCAACTGAACTCACACGTGACTCAGAGCAACCACACGTGACTCAGAGCAACCACACGTGACTCTGAGCAATCACACGTGACTCGGAGCAACCACACGTGACTCTGAGCAACCACACGTGACTCAGAGCAACCACACGTGACTCAGAGCAATCACACGTGACTCAGAGCAACCACACGTGACTCACAGCAACCACACGTGACTCAGAGCAATCACACGTGACTCAGAGCAATCACACGTGACTCTGAGCAACCACACGTGACTCAGAGCAACCACACGTGACTCCGAGCAATCACACGTGACTCGGAGCAACCACACGTGACTCTGAGCAACCACACGTGACTCAGAGCAACCACACGTGACTCAGAGCAACCACACGTGACTCCGAGCAATCACACGTGACTCAGAGCAACCACACGTGACTCAGAGCAACCACACGTGACTCAGAGCAACCACACGTGACTCCGAGCAATCACACGTGACTCGGAGCAACCACACGTGACTCTGAGCAACCACACGTGACTCAGAGCAACCACACGTGACTCCGAGCAATCACACGTGACTCGGAGCAACCACACGTGACTTTGAGCAACCACACGTGACTCAGAGCAACCACACGTGACTCAGAGCAACCACACGTGACTCCGAGCAATCACACATGACTCTGAGCAACCACACGTGACTCAGAGCAACCACTCATGACTCAGAGCAATCACACGTGACTCTGAGTAACCACACGTGACTCAGAGCAACCACACGTGACTCTCAGCAACAACACGTGACTCAGAGCAACCACTCCTCACGACTCAGAGCAACAACACGTGACTCAGAGCAACCACACGTGACTCTGAGCAACCACACGTGACTCAGCAACCACACGTGACACAGAGCAACCACACGTGACTCTGAGCAACCACACGTGACTCAGAGCAACCACACGTGACTCAGAGCAACCACACGTGACTCAGCAACCACTCATGACTCAGAGCAACCACACGTGACTCTGAGTAACCACACGTGACTCAGCAACCACACGTGACTCAGAGCAACTACACGTGACTCTCAGCAACAACACGTGACTAAAAGCAACAACACGTGACTCGGAGCAACAACACGTGACTCTGAGCAACCACACGTGACTCGGAGCAACAACACGTGACTCTGAGCAACCACACGTGACTCAGAGCAACCACACGTGACTCTGAGCAATCACACGTGACTCAGACAACCACACGTGACTCTGAGCAACCACACGTGACTCAGAGCAATCACACTTGACTCAGAGCAACCACACGTGACTCTGAGTAACCACACGTGACTCAGCAACCACACGTGACTCAGAGCAACTACACGTGACTCTCAGCAACAACACGTGACTAAAAGCAACAACACGTGACTCGGAGCAACAACACGTGACTCGGAGCAACAACACGTGACTCTGAGCAACCACACGTGACTCAGAGCAACCACACGTGACTCTCAGCAACAACACGTGACTAAAAGCAACAACACGTGACTCGGAGCAACAACACGTGACTCGGAGCAACAACACGTGACTCTGAGCAACCACACGTGACTCAGAGCAACCACACGTGACTCTCAGCAACAACACGTGACTAAAAGCAACAACACGTGACTCGGAGCAACCGCACGTGACTCCGAGCAACAACACGTGACTCAGAGCAATCACACGTGACTCAGAGCAACCACACGTGACTCTGAGCAACCACACGTGACTCTGAGCAACCACACGTGACTCAGAGCAACCACACGTGACTCTGAGCAACCACACGTGACTCAGAGCAACAACACGTGACTCAGCAACCACACGTGACTCAGAGCAACCACACGTGACTCAGCAACCACACGTGACTCAGAGCAACTACACGTGACTCTCAGCAACAACACGTGACTAAAAGCAACAACACGTGACTCGGAGCAACAACACGTGACTCTGAGCAACCACACGTGACTCAGAGCAACCACACGTGACTCTCAGCAACAACACGTGACTCAGAGCAACCACTCCTCACGACTCAGAGCAACCACTCGTGACTCAGAGCAACCACACGTGACTCAGAGCAACCACACGTGACTCAGAGCAACCACTCGTGACTCAGAGCAACCACACGTGACTCAGAGCAACCACACGTGACTCAGAGCAACCACACGTGACTCCGAGCAATCACACGTGACTCAGAGCAACCACTTACGACTCAGAGCAACAACATGTGGTGACTCAGAGCAACCACACGTGACTCAGAGCAACCACACGTGACTCAGAGCAACAACACGTGACTCAGAGCAACCACACGTGACTCAGAGCAATCACACTTGACTCAGAGCAACCACTCGTGACTCAGAGCAACCACACGTGACTCGGAGCAACAACACGTGACTCTGAGCAACCACACGTGACTCAGAGCAACCACTCGTGACTCAGAGCAACCACACGTGACTCAGAGCAACCACTCGTGACTCAGAGCAACCACACGTGACTCAGAGCAATCACACTTGACTCAGAGCAACCACTCGTGACTCAGAGCAACCACACGTGACTCAGAGCAACCACACGTGACTCGGAGCAACAACACGTGACTCTGAGCAACCACACGTGACTCAGAGCAACAACACGTGACTCGGAGCAACCACACGTGACTCAGAGCAACTGAACTCATGCAACTACGGTCAACTGAGTTGCTGGCGACTCTCACCGGCGTTGAGGAGGTGGAGGAGGAGGTGGAGGAGGTAGTGGAGATGGGGCATGGCGAGTGTCTACAGAGGTCAACGGACCACGAGTTGATGGCAACTTGGGAAGACGAGAGGGAGAGAGATGGGGGGAGAGAGATGGGGGGAGATGGGGGAGAGAGATGGGGGAGAGATGGGGGAGAGAGATGGGGGAGAGAGATGGGAGAGAGATGGGGGAGAGATGGGGGAGAGAGATGGGGGGAGATGGGGGAGAGAGATGGGTGAGAGATGGGGGGAGAGAGATGGGGGAGAGAGATGGGGAGAGAGATGGGGGAGAGAGATGGGGGAGATGGTGAGGAGAGAGATGGGGAGAGATGGGGGGAGATGGGGGAGAGATGGGGGGAGCGATGGGGAGAGAGATGGGGGGAGATAAGGGAGAGAGATGGGGGAGAGAGGGGGGGAGATGGGGGGAGAGATGGGGAGCGAGATGAGGAGAGAGATGGGGGAGAGATGGGGAGAGAGATGGGGAGAGAGATGGGGGAGATGGGGAGAGAGATTGGGGAGAGATGCGGAGAGATGGGGAGAGAGATGGGGAGAGAGATGGGGAGAGAGATGGGGGGAGATGGGGAGAGAGATTGGGGAGAGATGCGGAGAGATGGGGAGAGAGATGGGGGGAGAGATGGGGGAGAGATGGGGGGAGATGGGGAGAGAGATGGGGAGAGATGGGGGGAGATGGAGAGAGAGATGGGGAGAGATGGGGGGAGAGATGGGAGAGAGATGGGGGGAGAGATGGGAGAGAGATGGGGGGAGATGGGGAGAGAGATTGGGGAGAGATGCGGAGAGATGGGGAGAGAGATGGGGGGAGAGATGGGGGAGAGATGGGGGGAGATGGGGAGAGAGATGGGGAGAGATGGGGGGAGATGAGGAGAGAGATGGGGAGAGAGATGGGGGGAGAGATGGGGGGAGAGATGGGGAGAGAGATGGGGAGAGAGATGGGGGGAGAGATGGGGGAGAGATGGGGAGAGATGGGGAGAGAGATGGGAGAGAGATGGGGGAGAGATGGGGGGAGAGATGGGGAGAGAGATGGGGAGAGAGATGGGGGAGAGATGGGGAGAGAGATGGGGAGAGAGATGGGGAGAGAGATGGGGGAGAGATGGGGAGAGAGATGGGGAGAGAGATGGGGAGAGAGATGGGGAGAGAGATGGGAGAGAGATGGGGAGAGAGATGGGGGAGAGATAGGGGGAGAGATGGGGAGAGAGATGGGGAGAGAGATGGGGGAGAGATGGGGAGAGAGATGGGAGAGAGACACTGGTAGTGAGACAGAGAGAGAGAGTGGGGAGTGAGACAGAGTAAGACACGGGGAGTGAGTGAGACACTGGTAGTGAGACAAAGAGAGTGAGACACTGGTAGTGAGACAGAGTGAGACACTGGTAGTGAGACAAAGAGAGTGAGACACTGGTAGTGAGACAGAGTGAGACACTGGTAGTGAGACAGAGTGAGACACTGGTAGTGAGACAGAGTGAGACACTGGTAGTGAGACAGAGACACTGGAAGTGAGACAGAGAGTGGGGAGTGAGACAGAGTGAGACAGAGAGAGTGAGACACTGGTAGTGAGACAGAGAGAGAGTGGGGAGTGAGACAGAGTGAGACACGGGGAGTGAGTGAGACACTGGTAGTGAGACAGAGAGAGTGAGACACTGGTAGTGAGACACGGGGAGTGAGTGAGACACTGGTAGTGAGACAGAGAGACAGAGACAGGAGTGAGTGATTGAGAGAGAGAAGGGGAGTGAGACACTGGTAGTGAGACACTGGTAGTGAGACAGAGAGAGACACTGGTAGTGAGACAGAGAGAGACACTGGTAGTGAGACAGAGAGAGGAGTGAGTGATTGAGACAGAGTGAGACACTGGTAGTGAGACAGAGTGAGACACTGGTAGTGAGACACTGGTAGTGAGACAGAGAGAGGAGTGAGTGATTGAGAGAGAGAGAGAGAGAAGGGGAGTGAGACACTGGTAGTGAGACACTGCTAGTGAGACAGAGTTAGACACTGGTAGTGAGACAGAGTGAGACACTGGTAGTGAGACAGAGAGAGACACTGGTAGTGAGACAGAGTGAGACACTGGTAGTGAGACAGAGTGAGACACTGGTAGTGAGACAGAGACACTGGTAGTGAGACAGAGTGAGACACTGGTAGTGAGACAGAGAGAGACACTGGTAGTGAGACAGAGTGAGACACTGGTAGTGAGACAGAGTGAGACACTGGTAGTGAGACAGAGACACTGGTAGTGAGACAGAGTGAGACACTGCTAGTGAGACAGAGAGAGACACTGGTAGTGAGACAGAGAGAGACACTGGTAGTGAGACAGAGAGAGAGAGTGGTAGTGATACACTGGTAGTGAGACAGAGAGAGGAGTGAGTGA